GGGGCCGTTTGCTGCCCCGCACTAGAGAACCCATGGAAAACGCCAGAGAGAGGGACAGAAGACTGCCCCAGGAAGTCCAAGACAAAAGGCTCCAGCAAAAAGCGACACGAAGCTCAGAGGCTACTTCCTAAACACGCAGTACGTCTTCCATGAATGTAAGGCATGACAACTGCCTTCGTGACAGCGGGCCAGGGGAAGGATCAGAAGCGCCCGATCCTCCACGGGAAGCACGTCCTGTTTTGAGGACAAAGGAGCCACACTCAGAAGGGCTACAGCGAAGCAGCGTTGGGCTGGAGAAGGCCATGGCAGGAGGCCGCTGCCAAGAGCCCGGACGCAGCGGGACAGAGATGCGCCCTCCGGGGGACGGGACCGACACCGGCTGGGGCAGCTGCCCGGAGCGGGGGCTGGGGGGAAGCACGTGAGGGTCGCCCAGCCCGTGGCGCTGTCCCAGGCAGGCGCTGTCCCCGCAGACCCCGGATGGCAGGCCCCTCCCCCCAGCAGTCTGCCCGCGTGATGAGTGCGGCCCGATTCGGATCGTTGACTTTGACGTAGTCTTAACCGTGAAGTTGTCTGGAAAGGACATACCAAAAAGTCAGGGGCACTGTATCTGCCCAGGCGACATGCGGAGAAACGGTGCACGTCAAAATGCCACTCAGACCGCGGCCCGGCCCGGCCCGACCTGCAGAATCGTCAGAGAGCTGCGGTCCAGCGAGCCAGCGTCTCGCGGCCAGCAGGCCCCGAGTTGTCACAGACGTCGGGTCCTCCCGCTCATGGCTCCTACCACCCACCCGCTTCGCCCCTTTCCCGACTCAAAGCCCCTCTTCCTGGGGACTGGGGAATGGCTGACCGTTAACAGAGGCGAGCGGGCCGGGCGCGGCATCTACCAGGGAACGCCATGAAGGGATCTAGGCCGTGAAGGGACCTAGGCCGTGAAGGGACCTAGGAGCGACAGCGGAGTCGGGCTAGACGGCCACGAGAGCCCTGCTGGCCTGAGATCGCAGGCAGGCAGGTGACACGTGGTGGCCCAGGCCACGGACGCTGGCGCTTCCTGCGCCGGCGTCTCCGCGGCCCATGGTTCCGCTCTTTCTAGTCAACGTTCCCCAGGAGGACCCACTAGTGCGTTAGGAAGAAACGAGATAAAAGGCATGATCATCAGAAAGGAAAAGGTAAAAACTGACATTTGTGATGACTGACAGTGTTCACGGACAATCCAAGAAGATCTACAGTTAGAACTAATCATTCAACCTGCAAGTTTGCTGGATACGAGTCAGTCCAGTATTCTCATACGCCCGCAACAAAAAGAAAGAGAAAATCATTAAAAATACCATTGACAACAACACGCAAAGATCAAATAACTAGGAATATATCGAAAGAAAAAATATGCAAAAGCTCACCACTGAACACTATTAAAACACCATTTATTAAGACTCAAAGCTGTCATCAATCAGAAGCCTTGATAATAGCAAACTGTCAGTTCTCCTCAAATGATTTATAGATTCAATGCATCGCAATAAAAATATCAGGAGGTTTTGTTTATTTACTTATCTATGGGTAGAAAGTGACAAGGTGATTCTAAATTTTATATGTCCTGGAAGGACCTAGACGGCCACGGCAATCTGGAAGAAGAACAAAGCTGGAGGACTTCCTACCAGGTATCAAGACTCTCTGAGACGGTCATTCTGGAAACCTCGCACGATGCTTCCACTGGCCGCAGGCTCCCATTCACCCACCCTCAGTCAGCTAGTTTAATTCATTTTCCTCATAAGTGTTTGTCTGAGGTCTTTATTACTTTTCAAAGGAACTGAGACTGCTCCGTATTCTGAGAAACTTTATAAGGGTTGATTATAATAGAAATCCTTCTTTATTGAGGATACTTTTTGAGGGAAAAAAAAAAGAATCTTACTACACATTAACGGACATCTATGGTACCCGAGGACTTGAAGAAATGGACAATGGCCAAACTTTTAACAGAGAAGCAACCAATTATGCAAAATTGAATACAGGGGACATTTGTCTTTGGCTAAAGGCAGGCAAAATGCAGAATAAAACTTTAGCCACATACTTTTATCACCCAATCCAACTAATATCTCAGAAAGGAAAAGGGCAATTCAGAACACAGTAATATATAGGAAAACAGCAATACTGCTTGATGAAATTATTCTATTTATAAGTAAGTGACTGACCATAAATATTCTTCCTCGAACAAAGATCAACTATAATCTTTCTATGGTCCCACCTGCCTTTTAAACCCCGTTACTTTTGTTCTGTTTAACCGCCAGTTAAGACCCCACAAAGACAAACTGTTCACACAGACCCGTGTTTCTGGGCCTCCTCCAGACGCTTGTTCCATGCGCTGGAGGTTTCTGCCTGCGTTGAAGCTTGTGGCCTGACGTAACCTTTTTCCCGGCAGTCATTCTCAGTCCGGCAATATTTTTATAACATTCAAAATAACTCGCCCACTGACTTACTTGAAATTTCTAAAACGACTTTCATTTTATGCTCTAATTTTAAATAATTCATTTCTTAATGAGAAACTTTCAGCTACTTAGCTAGCTCCATCTGAACTCTGCGGCAAGAAACCCGAATGCAGGCGTTTTTGTAGAAATTTTTCTCTTGGCTTGGTTGAGGCCGTAAACACCAATTCAGGATACCTTATAATTATCTTACGAAAATCTGGAGGAAGGTCATTTACAGTAACTCAAGGGCATCTTACAATATTAAAACCAGCTTGGAGTCGACGTGCCTCTGATACAAACTACGACCAAAATCATCCTCGAGAGAAAAGCATTTATCCTAATTATTTATTCATCTGGATGTCCTAGGTAACATCTTAACTACCCAAATACGCTTAACTATGTTATCGCTTAGGATTTTTTCTGTGAATCATAGATTAAAAAAAACAACGAATAAATGTCATCATGAAAAACTGTATGTTCCGACACAGTCCACGAGCTGTTTGAACAAGTTCTGGACTATTTCTGGGCTATCTTTAAACAGCTCCTATGCTCACAGACGTTAGAAATATGCTGATGGTGTACGTATAAACGCCAAGCATCGCGTAACTATGGTTTCCTTTGACAGCAAATCCCTCTGAAAAACACACCATCTCAATCCTAAACACAAATTTCAAAATGTGTTAACTGGATAAACTCATTTCGCTCTCTGCCTTTCGGTGACATCACAGACAAGAACAAGATATTCGCTCAGTTGCTCGAGGCCATAGCACAAAGGGAGTGTTCTAAAAACAAAAAAGGGAAATTTAGGAGGATGTCGGCTTTACGTGCAGAAAGGGCAAAAAGCTGGACTCATGGAATGACCACTTTGTAAGGTGCCGTGTGCCTGAAATTAACATACTGCTGTATGTCCACTGTAATTAAAGTATAAGTTTAAAAAAACAGTCAACACACATTCTGCATATGTATCAGATACTGTATTCTTACAATAAAGTAAGCTAGAGAAAAGAAAATGTTATTAAGAAAAATCATAAAAAAAGAAAAAAGGGAAAAATAAGTTCTCTACGGTCACTGTCGGCTACACTAGTGGTTCTCTTTTCCTTGGAAATTTTTCTTAGATTTATTTTAACGGCAGTTGACATGCAGCGCTGTTAGCTG